TTAGCAAAGCACAGGGACCGCGGTTCAATCCCCCAGCACCACATGCCAGCCAGCCCCGCCCCCTGGTGGGCTGAGCTGGCCACACACACACACAATAAATGAATGAATAAATAAATAAATAAATAAGTCTTAAAAAAAATCCTAAAAAAAGAAAAATATATTGTAGATACAAAGTTCTTAGCAGATTTCGTGTTTTAAACTGAATTTTAATAAATTTTAAAAGAGTAGTATTTTATAGAATATACTTCTAGCCATAGTAGGATTGAACTAAAAATCAACAATGAAAGTTGATTCGTTGATTCAGAACATCCCACAATATTTGAAAATGAAGCAACATCAACCTACACTTCAAAGGAGAACTGATATTGGAAATTATTTTGAATAACTTAAAAACAAAATATGATATATCAATGTATGTGTATCCCAACAGCTTTGAATGTATACGAAAAAAATTTAAATCTTAAGTTCTGCTTGAAGAAACTAGAAAGAGTAAATTAAACCCAGTATAAAAGAAAAGAACAATTTGAGTATAAATCTATGAAAGAGCAGTACAGAGAAAAGTGAGTTGCATCCTGAATATGATTAAAATCTTTAGTAGGACAAAACAAATTAAGAGAACACATATTCATTACAGGTGATATCATTATACACAAAGGAAAATCCAAAGAATCCGTGCTATAGCTTAGATTTGGAATGTCTCTCACAGTGACAAAATTGCCAATATCATGCATGGAAAGAGTACATCCAGATAGATTATATAGCCATTAAGAAAATAAGAAAAATATAGTCAACACCTATGTGCCAAATTCCTGGAAAAACCCAACTTACAAAAAAGAAGAAAATATAAATTATTTTGTATTTGTTGTCATTAAAATACATAACTTAAATTCCTTCTCACCAAAAATATTACTGGACTCATATGACTTATTTGATTAATTTTCTAAAACTGTAAGGAAGAAATAATACTAGTCTTACAAGAAAAAAAAATTAAACACTAAAAAAAGAGATGTTTCTAAATTCATTTTTGGGCCACATAATGTCAGATCCAAATTGTGTACAAATGTTATGAAAAAGAAAATTGCTCTCCAAGATGCCTCATGAACATGGATGCAAAAATTCAAAATGTTAGTAAATGAAATACAGCAACATATGAAAGGATACTATATCATGATTAAGTAAAATTTGCTCCAGGAATGCAAAATTGATTGAACACTGAAAAATAAATCAATAAAATACACCACCTTAGCAGAATAATGGAGAAAAACCATATAGCCATCTCAGTAGAATAATAAAGAGCATTTGACAAAAGACACATCCAATTATAGTAAAAATTTTCAGCAAATCTGACAACGTAGAATATTCCATATAGTAAAAGGTGGAACCCTTTTTTGGTTGAATTGGAAAGTAATGCAAGGATATCTACCTGTATTCAGTTATTGAGTTAAAGACCCTACCCAGGATAAGAAGACAAGAAATAGTAATACAATATGTGAAGATCAGAAAAAATACAAATGCTTTTCATTACAGGTGATATGATTGTACACAAAGGAAAATCCAAAGAATCTGTGCTATAGCTTAGATTTGGAATGTCTCTCACAGTCCCATGTGTTGAAGAGTTGGCCCGCAGGTTGGCACTAGGGCAAGGTACGAGGACCTTAGAAAGGTGGAGCCTGTTGGGAGGTCTTCAGGTCACTGGGGAAAGGCCTTCAGAGGGAATTGTGGGACATAAAGCTTTCTCTCTGCTTCTCCTATCATCTGCTCTGATCTGCAGATGGTTTATGTGTATTTGCCTGTTGGAAAAATCCAAGCTGATTGTAAAATTAGACAGAAATCTAATGAACCTAAAATAGTAAAAATACTCCCAGAGAAGAAAAGGTGGAGAATGTCTTACGTTACTAATTTCTAAGAGCTGGTCTCGGTCAGTTCTCATCGCTGGGGCACAACACCCAGTGCCCACAACATAAAGGAGGACAGGTCTATCTTGGCTCACTGTTTAGAAGCCTCAGTCCATATTCAGCTGGCTCAAACGTAGTAACCAGAAGGTGGAAGGGCCTGAGCAGATGGCAGGTACTCATACACGATGGCAAGGAAAACGAGACACACGCTTCTTGACTAGGCTCCCAACTGCCTGCCTCTGCCACCAGCTACCACCTCCTCAAAACATCTCAGGTACAGTGTGGTGTTCACTTCCAGGGTTTGTCATATTCCAAAGGCCTGGCCTCTGAGGACAGGAGGCTCCAGGGAACATTTGGATATAAACCATAACATAGCTGCAACGATTAACACAGTGAGATATTGGTATAATTTATAGGCCAAGCAGAGGGCGGTTAGAAATAGGCTTATAAAGCAACTTCATTGGTAACAGAGATATGACTGCAATTTTGTGGGGTAAAATATAGGATGTTTTTTCCTAATATATAGTCCAGGAGCAATTGTACATTCATTCACATGGAGAAAAAAACCAAAAAAACAAGTCTTAACCTCTAATTACACCATACGTGGAACATAATTCAACATATATCACAGAGTTAAATGCACCAAGAAAAACATACTAGGACATCTTTGTGCCCTTGGAGTAGCAAGGGTTTCTTACAGGACACAAGAATATTAAGCATCAAGTAAACCACATATCAGAGGAAGATCTTCATAATACATACATGTATGAGACAAAAGACTTTTCTATTGAAAAAATAGGCCAAAGTCTTGACAGGAACCTCAAAAAACTAGAAGGTTTTCAAAAGACCAGTAGTCATATAAAAATATATGCATTGAGGAAACAGAAAATGAACCAGGAGGATGGGTAAAATTAAAAGAGTAGTATAAAATAAAATGGCACGCATAGGGAGTGTCTGGAATTCCATGCATTTGGTGGGTTTGTGCATTAGCTGAGCATAACAGCAGAGTGTCATTACCTCCTAAGATAAAATACCCAGCAACCTCACCCCTAAATGTGTACTAAGAAGGAATGAGTGTGTACCTCCACCCAAAGGGACCTACAGGAATGTTCATGCCCCAATCTGGAGACAATCCAAATGTCCATTAAGAAGAGTGATAAATAAACCATGGTGTTTTCCTATCATGGAATGCTACACGGAAATTAAAGAAGGTAAAGTAGATTCAGCAAAAGAAGCCAGCTCGAAAGGAGTATGTGTTTTATGATTCCTTATATTTGAAACTCAGGACCATGCAAATGTAATTGTCAGTGCTTGAAGTTAGAAGAGCAGTTAGCTGTTCATGAAGGGTTCACTGGGTATGGTTAGGAAAAAGTCTTCTGGGATATTGGAAATATTCAATATCACTTTATCAGGCAGTACAGTAAGATCAGTGCTGCTTTTGTCTTTAGTCTACATACACTTCAATAATAATAATAATAATAATAAGACAAAGCAAATTAGAGAAAGATGGAGGTGTTGTTAAAAGTTTGAATTAGTCTATTTTCTGCTGCTAGAACAAAACATTTGAGGCTGGGTATCTTGTAAATAAAGAGGACTATTTATTCACAGCTTGGGAGGCCAGAGCCCAAGGTTGAGCCACCTCGTCAGGTTGGCCTCTGGTGAGGGCCCCACAGGAGATAACACAGCAGTGAGAGTGACTGAGAGTACTAACATGATGAGAGAGGAAGCCGGAGAGACTCAGGGCCAGTCTCACTTGCTCCATGGCAACTGGTTGTTTTAAAGACTCACAAGAGCAGCGTAAAACCCCTTCTGAGGAAGGGACACCTCTGATCCAATCACATCTCCCTAGGTCCCACCTCTTAAAGGTGTCGCTCAATGCCACCACTGTGGGGCCAGAACTCCTTCCAAGGAATACTGGGGGATACATTCAGCCTTCTCCAAACCACAATAGAATTCCACCTTCAATACTTTACAGCAGGATCTACAGATACTTTCAGTGAAGAGTCCAGTGGTAAATCTTTTAGGCTTCTAAACTCTATGCTCTGTCACAACTCTTCAGCTCTGCCACTGTCGAGCAAAAACAGCCATACACTGTACATAAATGTTTGAGCAACACTGCATTCCTGTAAATTACGTACAAAAATAGATGACTGGCCAAATTTGACCTGGAAGGCATACTCTATTGCCTCTGGCTCTCACTACAGTATCACCCTATATTTAAATAACTTATGAAATAAAATTATTTCTTCTGTAATTTGTGGTAATAGTAGTAAGGCTTCTTCTAGCCAGATACAATGTGATTTTTTTTAAGTACTAAAGGTAAGGAAAGGGCTGGCCAAATAGCTCAGCAGATTAAAGCACCTACAAGCAGGCACAGGGACTGGGGTTCAATCCCTGGCATGCTGTGCCAGCCCTGCCCCCGGGGCGTGCTGAGACAGCAGTTGAGACTTGGCAGGGTGGCACATGCCTGTGATCCCAGTTCTTGGGAGGCTGTAAACAGGTGGATCACTCCAAATCTGATCTAGTAGTGAGACCCTGAACACCCTGAAGACCCTT